GACACTCAACCCTCTCCCTTCCTCCTGTCCTATCTCTCTCTCATGCAACTTCACTCCTCTACTCTATACTCAACCTTCTTTTTACTTAAGCACTCCTCTCACTCTAAACTTTGGGTTTTCATCTTCAATACTCACACAATAAACTCCAGCCATGGTCTTCGGCATGACATACATCTCTTCTCCTCCATTCTATGTGCACCCACAACACCATGCACCATTGTTTAGTTTGTGTGGTACCCGATCTCACCAACATTACTCTCCCTCAACTCTCTCTCATTGTCATCCCTGGTTATATTATTAAATGAAAGGCTATTCCTCCATAGTTGCAACTACGATTTGTAGTTTTTAGTTTCAAGTATGTGGTTTTTCAAATTTGTGTGGTATTGGTTTAAGTTCATCTTCTTTGTGAGGATGCTTCTTTGATTTTTCAAATCTATAGTTTTTATTTTTTATTTTACATTTAAATTGTTAAAAGGAAAATCTTAGCGTTAATTGTTGTTAATTTCAAATCTGGATATTGTTTCTACTACTCTGTCTTTATTTTTTTATTTTTTTACTCCACTTTGTTCAAGAATTTGAAAGGAAAAAAAACAAAAGAAAATATAATGAAGGGCCGCTAAAAATGCAACCCCTATTTTTTTTTCTAAAAAAATGCTTATATATATAGCAGTTATTTTCAAATAATTGCTATATAATTGCCAACTATATAGCTTAAGTGTATTTCCACAAATGGAACTTATTTATAAGTGTTTTTTTTTTTTTGGTTCAGGACTTAAAGGCACTGCTTGGTAGGAAGGAATGGTAAGGTGGGACTAGAATTGGGATCGGATAATCCTACTTTTTCATGTTTAGTATGAAAGAATGAAAAATTTAATCCTAATGCCAATCCCATCTATGTGGGATTGCTTAATACTACCACCACCGATATTGGAAAAATCAATCTTAAGATTGACTATTTTCAGACCGAATTGCCCCCTTCTCTCTCCATTGTCTCCCTCCCTTTGCCTTCTCATCAATTGACATCTCCATCCAGGCTCTTCCCTTTTTCCATCCATTCAAAGCAAGCAACATCGGCCCCTCCTCCATTGATGCTAGTCTCTCCTCCATTGACATCGCGGCTAGACCTAAAGGGATAAGAAGGAGATCGAAGATGAGAGAAGGATGAGAATGATTGATGATGTTATTTGCATAATTTTTCTAAACTCAAGCTACGACCACCTGATCCCACCACTGTCGTTGTCCTCATTGTCATTTGCATCCTTGACATTCTCATAATCTTAGTTCAAACCAAAAGAAGAAAGAAGAGGAGAGGCTGGCGATAAGGTTAAACTAGAAGAGTAACTAGAAGAAGAAAGAAGAAGATGATGATAAAGATGAGTAGTGGAAGGAGCCTCTCTTGCACGGCCATGGTTGTTCATTTTAGGGGAGAGGGAGAGTGTTTGAATGATGAGTTATAGTTACATTTTTTTAAATTTTTTATGGGTATTATAGTATTTTTATAATTTATATTTAATTATAAAATAAAATAACAATAAGTATTCCTTGCAAATATTACTTCATACCAAGTATAATTTTAAAGTTTTATTCCTACTCTCGTTTCTATTACCAATCTCAAATCCAAATTCTCTAAATTGAGGCTTCCTTACCAAGCAGGGCTAAAAAGGTTTGGCATTTTAGGACAAGTGGGTCCTCATGTGTTGTGCCATGTAGTTATGCCCTATCGCATGGCCCTTGCTCGCATATGATCCAATTTGCTTGCAGTCCAAAAATTGAAAATCCATTTATATTTCAAGAAAATAGTGAAGCCCATTTCATTTTTTTTAATTAAATAATGAACCCATATTAGCACAAGAATAACAATATGTAGTTTTTAGGCATGATAATGTGATGTAGTCTTATAGATAAATTATTTATTATAGTTTTTAGAGCTAATAATTTGGGTTCAGATTAACAGGCTAGCCCGAACCCCCTCCCTCAAAAAATGTTATGGTCGGGCTTGACTATATAACCTTTTTTAAAAGAGTATAATACTTTAAGCTCAGCCCACCTGAATTACCAACTCTAAGAGTTTTTGATAACCTATAGTAGTAGATTTCTTAAACTTTGAAAATAATAGATAAATTCAAATTGATAATATAGAAATAATAATCAACATATACACACAAATAAACCATTAAAAACCATTTTCATTATCATGATAAGTGTGGTTCCTCATTCCCATATACAAATACATGATGTATGAGATTTAGTTGATATAAAAGTAATGACTTGGACATGTTTGAATAGTAATCATAGATCATACTCTAATAATTAAGTATTTGGCAAAATAGGAACAATTTCATAAAAACGTAAAGCATACTAATTAAGTATTTAGTTATTTACAAGTGAGAGGAAATGGTATTAGAATAATCACAAGTGTTACTGGCAAAATGACAAGTAAAACCTCATAAAAAGATTAACGCTAAATCAAGGTTTTTTAGACTAAACTACATAAAATCTGCCTGAATTTTGAGACAGTTGCACATGATTTTCCTCACCTTTTAGTGTTTAAAATTAACCTCCCTAATCTTTAATTTTATTTTTCAAAACCCCCTACCCTATGATTAATCAACTAGTATTTTATTAATATAGTTATTGCCATGTCATATTAATGCAATACATATGGCATATGACATGGGAGAAGTATTTTGATTATTTTTATCACAATTTAAGACGTAATAAAATTATAATTTTATTTTTAACACACATGATGATGCTCTCAATTTTCTAGTCAAATAACATTGTTCTCATTATTCACGATCAATACAGTTTAAGAGAACAATTATAATTTTATTATTATTTATCAATTAAAATAGATTTTTATATTAAACAAATTAAAAGAAAAATATCTGAACCCTATTGTTGGTAAGAGTCATATAAATTTTGTTATTTGCTTTATTTTTTTTCAAATTCTTATTTATTTGTAGCTATTTTTTTTCTTTAAATCAAGTTTTTAGTACTTATTCAAACAAAAAATATGTTACTAGTATGTTACAAATGAAATGAGTGCTACTAAGAATGCGAATTTTTTTTTTTTTGCTATTAGTGATTTGTATTGATTTTGTTAAAACAACATGTAAAATATCATAGTTTTCTCATATTAAAGAATAAATTTTTTATTTATATTATTTTTATTAATGATAGTTTTTGCATATTCTTTTAATTTTTTTTAAAATAAGATGATGTTTTAATTGATAAAAATAAAAAAATTATATTTTTTCTCTTCATTTTTGTTACTCATAAATAATGAGAACAATGTTGCTCAACCAACCGAAAAAAGCATTGTCATATATATTAAAAGTAAAAATATAATTTTGCCCATTCATAAATTGTGTTAAAAATAGTAAAAATATTTTTTATATGTCATATATATGTCACTTCTATTGTATTAATTGACATGACAATAACTATATCAATAAAATAATAGTTAATTAATAGTAGTAGTTTTGAAAAACAAAATTAAAAGTTATGAGGTTAATTTTAAATGTTTAAATGTGAGAAGAGATGCAACTATATCAAAGTTTAGGGAGTTTTATGAATTTTCTTTTTTTTTTAGTCATTTTAGTACCAAAACATAATAGAAAGAGTATTGAATTTGGAAAGGTGAACAAATTTTAACTTGACATTAATATAATATTCTTCCTAGATCCTTACTTGTCATTCTTCCAAGTTATATTATTAGACTTTAATATACTTCTAATTCCAACCAAAGATATCTATTGGTTGTATGAGATTATCTAACAGAGTCTTAAATGTAGCCTCACTAGGTGTGGGAATAGGTTGAGCCTCTATTAGAGGTTTATTCTCTGGCTTATTTCAAACCCAACCCAACCTATTTACTAAATAGTTTTAAGTTATATTCAAGTCTTTAATTAAGCCTATTTAAAGCCCAAGTTTTCAAGGCCTAATCCACAAGCCCACCAAATTAACTTATTTATACAAACACATATTATGTAATATATCACACAGACATCAACTTCACAATTTGATTTGTAATCAATCTATTTTTTTTATCTTTAGTTATGTTTTCAATCAGATTGAACTTATGTATTGATTTTAATGTTATTACTTTATTATTGTATTGTATTGTAGTTGGCAAGTCCTTTTAATTATTATATATTGTAATTGATAAATTATATTATATATTAATACTAATAATCCTAAAATATATTTGAGACATTTAAAATTAAAATGCGAGTTTATTTAAAAGGTTTACTTTTAAGTAGGCTTTTAAATAAACTTTCAAACCAAGCCGGTTTTAAGTAAGCTCGCACTAGCATGAAATTTATTTTTACATGAGAATTTTAATATTGGTTAAAAGAAACCTATTGTTGAAAGTGAGGGGGGGACATTTTTTTAATATTATGAGCACCTCATTTTTTTAAAAATTGCTCTCTTCTTGTACACGTAGATCACTCAGTCGATGATATTCATGATCTTTTCTTGCTTGGTAAATGAAATTCCCCTCGATATGATTGTGAAGTCGTCGAGCTCAAATAATTAAAAGTCAAGATTTCATTGTTATTTTAATAAAGAATATATAATTAATATCTTGGGACATAGATCCGTTTTTTGGAGTTGTGAGGCGCATCGTCTGGAAAGCGTCGCATGCATAAGTTGAACGAAGTAGATGCCACGAAACTACACAACATTTTTGCTTTGTCCAACGAAACACTTTCACATGCCTCTCTTGATGAGCACTTGTTAAACTGTTATTTTATATTTTATTTTCGAGGCATTGTATCATTCTAATCAAGCCCAGTACTGATCGAAGAAACATTCATACTTCAACAACAGACATCTCTATCTCCCTTTACTTCTGAAACGGCAAAAGAAAAAGAGAGATCCAGCAAGGAGAAGAGAGTGTAGTAATGCAGAAATGAATGAACAAAAGACTGGTTCATCATAGATTCTCTTTATTATACCGTATATATAACGTACATTGAGCATTCCCTATTGAATACTATTTTCCAACGAAGCCAGAGAGAAAGAAACAAGACTCACATGAAAAAGCCGAAATCGAGAGGAAAATTCAAAAGGACTGACCAAGATCATCACATTATTAGCTCCCTGCAGAGCATATATGGCATGCATACATACACACACACACACACACACACACACATATATATATATGACAGTGTGGCGTGGGGTTTCAATTTTTATGGCCCAGATGGCAGCGGAAGGACATTGAGGTTGGGTATTGGTTGTGACAAGGAGACGAACGAGACGGTGGGACAAGACCCTTTGGGAGCATCACAGAGATCAAAGCAGGCCTAGACTTGATCGGCTTCTTGGTCGTCTTCTTCCTGTGCTTCTTGGCCTTCTTCTTCTTGAAGCGTTCTTGGAAGATGGGATCGCCGTTCTTGAGGTTGAACATTTGGTGATGATGGGTGGGAATGATGGGAACTCTGGAAGGAGGCTCGTTTTGGGTTTGGATTTGCTGGGTCGAGGAAGAAGGTGAAGAAGAAACAGTGTGAGAGGAGAAGATCAGGAAGATGAAGAGAAACATCAACAGGGTTGTGCACAAGCACTTGAGGCTTTGATTCAGATCATCACCCATCATAAGAACCAATAGAAGCGCTAAGTTTTGAGCAACATTTTGCGGAGAAACAGAAATGATGAGGGGATGGTGGGGAATTTCAATGGGTTATCGGTGGCTTTTGAGATTAAGTATGTAATATGTAACTCCTCATGGACGTAGAGCCTAATTAATTCTAATAGTAATAATAATAATAAATAATGGATGTTCACTTTATGGGCTCGTGATGAAATTTTAAGCATGGGTACAAACGTTGTCAACTTGTACTTTTCTTTCTTTTTTTTTTTTTGCCCCCTTTGTTTCTATCATGTGACAACTTTATATCATCCTAATAAGAGGCAAGAGGAAAATATCAACAAACAAAATAAATAAGGATAATTGCATCGACCATCCTCATCTAAGAGGGAAAAAAGGGCTAATTCCATGATTTTAATAATAACGGTTTACCCTTTAACATGATCAAGACTCCAGCTTTTCTATGCACAGTTTTGGAACTGATCATGACCTGAGTATACTCATCCGGTTCTATTTATAGGATAATAACGGTTCTCTCTATATTTTGCTCTTATTAAATGTTTTGAATAAAAATACTAGCAATGAGATTTAAAAATATTTATTAAAAAAAATATGAAGACTTATTAAATTTTAAGATGAATATTAGTAATTCTCCTTTAAAAGTTTTGGCATATTAAAAGATATTATATTTTACCAAAATAATTTAAATTATTTAATTAGATACATCTCAAATTTTACATACTCATAATTTATTTTTAATTTTTAAATGTAAGATTTTTTTTATCTTTAATAGGTGCCACTAGATCACAAGGTAATTGGGCTCCATGTATGAAAAGCAATTGAGGATGATATAAAAAAAAAGAAAAAACAGGCTGGAAGTGGCAAGCTACTACACTCTTGGAAGTCGAAAAGCAAGAACAAAAAAGACGGCAGTACAAACAAATCTGGATTCAGTAAATGGTTTAAGTCCATTTTAGTCAAGGAATTCTCACCTAGCATGATAATAATTATTTAATTTAATTTAATGACTATAAAAGATTTTATTATATATATTTAAAAATAGAAAGTATCACAAATCTCAATTTTTTTAGAGTATGTGGGTAGTGTTTTGAATTTTGAAAAAAAAATGATCTTGATAATTTTTAAATATTAATAAAATTTAATAATTATAATTGAAATATTTATTAAATAAGTGAATTTAATTTATTTACCAAATCTAAATCCAAGTGGAGAAAAGGGGAGGCCAGGCAGAGTGGTGTGAGTCAGCCTTGGGTTGTTTGATGCGGTGGCTGAACGTCGAAGTGTGAAGCGTCTCCTGCTCATCTGATTCCTCTCCATCCACTTCTCAATGGACCCAGTTTCTCTCTATTTTTATTTCCCTCCATTTATTCTTCACTTTTCATCTCAATCATCAAATTTACTTTTTAATGATTGAGATTTAATATTTTACAAAATTATTATTGAAAATTTATTTATGAAACATCAAATCTCAAACATTAAAAAAATTAATAATTGACATAAAAAATAAAAAGAAAATGAAGAAAAGCCAAATTTAAAATAAAAATTGAGAGCAGTGGACTAATAGACACGCACATATATTTAATAGACCTGGCTTTTGATCTTTCAAGCGAGCATTCAGCATGAAATCCTACAAGGCTGAAGACTGGATATAACTTCTGCATTACAGCTCTTTTTACATCATCTAATTTTTTTTTAATATTTTTTAATTTTTTTACCTTTTATTTTCTGTCAATAATATTTGTTTTAACCATCCTCTCTCCCCATCCTCTCCTTCATCTCCTCTCTCCCGACTTCTCCATTCTTCATCTCCTCTTAAATTTAAGATTTTTTTTTTAATTTTAATAAAAAATAATTGAAAGTAATTCTTAAATAAGATCAGAGAAAGTGTGTGTGTGTATATTGATACCATATATAAGCATGAGTGCAGTTGCAATTATATAACTTCTCTAGACATACTGAAAATGGAAAAAATTATAATAGTAAGAATTAATGTCCCGTTTGATATGCTAAAAATGGAGATATGAAAATGAAAATAGAATTGTAATTCACATTTTTTTTGTTTGGTATGTATGAATAGATTTCCATATTGAAATAAAATTTCATCAAATAAGTTGAATTGAGTTCCATAATAAAGCTTATGGAAATGAGATAGGTTCTATGGAAGTGAATTTTTCGAGCAAAAAATAATCTTAATTATGAAATTGTTGATAGATTTGCCCCTTCATCAATCATTGAAGTAAATTAAAATTTTTTTAATAAAGTGATTATATAAATGCATATATTAAATAAAAATATATCATAATTA